AGGCGTGGAGTATGAATAGCTGCGCTCCCCTCTCCTCCCAGCCACTCGCTTCCCTTCCCTGCCTTCCCTCTCCTCCAGAGCCCCGGCATCCTCCCCGGCATCTTCCCCGGCATCCTCCGGTAACACCGACGCCAAAGCCCCGGCATCCTCCGGCAGCACCGATGCTCAGCACGGAAAGTTTCGTGGGGGCGAGAGCCCTGGGCGAGGAATCGTTGCAGATGTGGGACCTCAACAAGCGACTGGAGGCGTACCTGGCTCGCGTGAAGTTCTTGGAGGAGGAAAACGAGGTGCTGCGAGCCGAAATCCAGAACGCCAAGGGCAGCCCCGCCGGCGATTCGTGGCGGGCAAAGTACGAGGAGGAGCTGCGAGCTTTGCGGGATGCGCTGGATCGTGCCTTCACGGAGAAATGTACGGCCGAGCTGGCCAGGGACAACCTCTACGAGGAGGTCCAGCAGGTGAAAAGCAGGTGCCAGAAGGAGCAGGCAGCCCGAGAAGAAGCCAAGAAGCAGCTTTCCTTGAGCAAAAAGGAACTGGAGGAGGAGAGGAGAGCGCAGATCTGGCTGAAGGAGAGAGCAGGGCAGCTGGAGAAGGAGGTGGAAGCTTTGCTGGAGGTGCACGAGGAGGAAAAAGCGGGGCTGGACCAGGAGATCGCGAGGTTCTCGCAGAGCCTGGAAAGCTTTCGATGCGCGCCGTTGGCTTTCCAGCCGGTGGAAGTGGAGGACTACTCCAAGAGGCTTTCGGAAATTTGGAAAGGGGCGGTGGAGACCTACAAGACGGAGGTGTCCCAGCTGGAGGGTTCCCTCTGCCAGGCCAAGGAGAACCTCTGGAAGGCGGTGGAGGACAACCAGCAGAGCCAGCTCCAGCTCCAGCACCTGGAGAAGGACCTGGCAGGGCTCAAAGCACGGAAGGAGATGCTGGAGGAGAACCTGGCCCGGCAATGGCAGGAGCAGCGTGGGGAGGCAGAGAAATTCCAGGTGGGTGAAGGCGGTGTGGGAAAGCAGCGGTCCCCTGGGGAGGGGAGAGCGGGGTGCTGGG